TATTTGGTCCTTCCTGTTCCCATTATGTTCCCCGATTAGTTCATCATTTGTTTCAAGCTGTCTTTTGATAATTATCTTAATTTGCTCCAGTATTTAAAGTGTAGTCTGCCCTGTTTTCCTTCGTCCGGTATTGTATATGTCAACCTCTCCTGCTACGTGTGTTTTCCTGGTTCCCTTGTGTTGCAAAATTAGTCTTCTTGTTGATGTACTCCGCGTCTCCTCATTTCTCACTCCGCGCTCCCTCACAGTAGCGAACGTGACACTTACACCAAGGGACTATTTTTTTTTATATATATATATATATATCAGTGGTGTGAAAAAGTGTTGGCCCCCTTCCTGATTTCTTATTTTTTTGCATGTTTGTCACACTTTAATGTTTAAGATCATCAAACAAATTTAAATATTAGTAAACGATCACACAAGTGAACACAAAGCAGCAACAACTGCAATCAAGCGTTTGTGATAACTTGCAATGAGTCTGTTACAGCGCTGTGGAGGAATTTTGGTCCACTCATCTATGTAGAATTGTTGTAATTCAGCCACATTGGAGGGTTTTTGAGCATGAACCGCCTTTTTAAGGTCATGTCACAGCATCTCAATAGGATTCAGGTCAGGACTTTGACTAGGCCACTCCAAAGTCTTCATTTTGTTTTTCTTCAGCCATTCAGAGGTGGACTTGCTGGTGTGTTTTGGATCATTGTCCTGCTGCAGAACCCAAGTTCGCTTCAGCTTGAGGTCACGAACAGATGGCCGGACATTCTCCTTCAGGATTTTTTGGTAAACAGCAGAATTCATGGTTCCATTTATCACAGCAAGTCTTCCAGGTCCTGAAGCAGCAAAACAGCCCCAGACCATCACACTACCACCACCATATTTTACTGTTGGTATGATGTTCTTTTTCTGAAATGCAGTGTTACTTTTACGCCAGACGTAATGGGACACACACCTTCCAAAAAGTTCAACTTTTGTCTCTTCAGTCCACAGAGTATTTTCCCAAAAGTCTTGGGGATCATCAAGATGTTTTCTGGCAAAACTGAGACGAGCCTTTATGTTCTTTTTGCTCAGCAGCGGTTTTCGTCTTGGAACTCTGCCATGCAGATCATTTTTGCCCAGTCTCTTTCTTATGGTGGAGTCATGAACACTGACCTTAACTGAGGCAAGTGAGGCCTGCAGTTCTTTGGATGTTGTTGTGGGGTCTTTTGTGACCTCTTGGATGAGTCATCGCTGTGCTCTTGGGGTAATTTTGGTCGGCCGGCCACTCCTGGGAAGGTTCTCCACTGTTCCATGTTTTTGCCATTTGTGAATAATGGCTCTCACTGTGGTTCGCTGGAGTCCCAAAGCTTTAGAAATGGCTTTATAACCTTTTCCAGACTGATAGATCTCAATTACATTCTTTCTCATTTGTACACATATGCAGTGAAGGAATATTACTGTGATTACTGTAATATATGTATATCATTCAGTTTTAGTCAATTTTCAGTCCTCGTTTAAATTGCATGACAAATGTCTCATTAAATTATCGATATTCTGAATTCAGAATATGTAATATATTTAATTCAAATAAATTAAAATATGAACTCTTAAAACTTAAAACGAAAATGTTTCAAAATTCTAAACAATAAAGTTTGATGAATGGCATTAATAAACTTCATTTAATTAATAAACAAAAAAAGTCAAGCATTTTTCAACTAATGTAGTTATGTAGTTAATTATACTTTTCCCAGAAATTATTTTAATTTATTTGGTGCAGGCAGTTAAATTGCACACTTTTGCAGGTAAAAAGCGTCTGAGCACTGGCTGCCATTTAAAGTTAGCTATGTATTTTGACAAAGTCATTTTTTGCGAACAAAATATAAATTAGTATTTTATAATAGATGTTTTACCATGACAGTTTTACGTCACAGCTCACAATACACATTAGGGAAGGGTCATGTTATCTTCCAATGAGGTGACCAGCTTCATGTAAAATAAAACAGCTTTTATTATAATATATATTTATCATTTTTAAAGAAGTACTAATAATTTCTTCTTTGGGCCAAACTTTTTAAAGAGGTAAAGAATTCCACCTTTAACTTACATATTATGATCTCATATTTGAACAATTAGCTTTGCCAGATAAGACTTCACATTACAGCCTTCATAGCCTTGGCCATTTGCAATGCCAACAATATAAAATATATAACAATATAAAATAAGGTTTACAATTGATAGTAAACAGCAGGACTGTGATGAGCCTGTGATACACATCAGCTTGAAAATAATTCTTTCATTTAGTCTCATTTGCAGAGGCCATTGAGTAATAACAATACAAGATAACATGCATTCTATTCAGCAGTAAAATTATGGTGTTCAAGCACAATAACAATAATGGAGAAATTGCCACACAGTAGTTTTTGTTATTTGTTTTCCCACACTGGAATTATTTTTATGAGACATAGAACATAATAAAAAGGAAAGCACAAACATAAAACTATAAACTATTAGATCAAGTGGAGCTTACATAGTCAAATTTCCTATATCACATCCTGATTGGGACTATTAACAGAGTTTTACAATAATTTAAATATGTAATTTCATTAAATATAGCAATTGCAAAGGATGTATTTTTAATTGTGGGTGGTCTCACAAATACTGTGCATTGAGGTAAAGGGAACTCAACCATAGAGAAAACAGAAAATGGGAGAGGCTTCTGAAGGAAAACACATTCCAGGAGAAACCAAGGTCAGGATGAAACATAACAAGAGGAACTGACATGAAAGTCTGCTTTCTACTTCCTCTGAAGACAGACAATATATTTCAGACGTTGCTATGTTTAATAGTAATGGGGCATGGGAGTATAGACGCCTCTGTGTGAGGGCTAACGTTTAGACTGCGTTGCATCATAAGATTTCATAACGTAAGCCACACACGTCTTCTGTTAAAACGTTAAAAAAGCAGGGTATATTATTCTTATTCAAAACCATTTCTCATATTTATTCGAATAGTGAAAAGAAGCCCCTTTGTGGCCAAAATTCATGAATATGTGTTATGAACTACACCTCACAGACAATGGCGCTTAGTATAACGCCCTGAGCCATATCTTTAGAGAGCGAGCGTGCAAAGCAAAACACTTACGTCCTCGATTCATAACAGGAGGGAGGAGAGTGGAGTTAAATGAGTCACCGAGTGGTGCCACTCTTAGATAATGGCCAAAGCCCACTGTGGGAGAGCGAGGAGAAAAAAGGCCAATAAAGAATTATTAAATGGATTTTCATCTTTCTGCCAGCACAAACGCTTGCCGTGCAAGGCGTTCTCCCAGCGGCACCCACCGAATGATATTCAACGGTCCCTCCAATTTCAATATGACAATGCCAACGGCAAAAGCATCACGTCCCTCGCTGCTCCTCTGCAGATACACTGAACTTGGTGACATCGGCTTGATGATCCAGTTTCGGCTGGTTTTTAATTAACCCGAGGGTCAGATCTCAAAGCACACCGCTTTAGGGAATTTTACTATCTGGATGAAGGACGGTTAGATACATCCACAGATTAGAGATATGGAGGAGATTTAATTGACTACCCTTTATGATACTCCAGAGAGGTGATGAATACGTGCACTTCCGTAATGCTGAAATTGGAAAGTAGCCTATTTGTATTAATGCCAAAGCATACACTGCATAATAATACCGAATGCTCTATTGAAAAAATCGTCGAACTGAATGATGATATTGAATGGGTCCATCAAAGTAAATGCCGACGAAAGCACTTACTGTAGCTCAATTTGACGTTAAATAGACCATCATGAAAGCTGAAATTAGAGGTTTTGTTCCACTGTTTTCCCGCAGTTATTAATCATTTATGCGCAATGTGACGAAAAGTAGAAAGTCAATTGGAATGGATGTATTTCTGTAACACGTCTGTCTCGGGTTCACAGCAGGAGGCAGCCACATATCCTCACCGCCGCGGTTCTCCAAAGAGCAAAAGTCCTCCCTCGAACGCGTTGCAGAAAAACAAATACTGCCTTGATATCATACCGAACACAAACCCTCCAGAGAGGTGTAGCATATCCTGAATGCTCAATGATCTCATTAACCGCTGCCCATCTCACAGGGAGGCGAAGGTCAGAAGTACACAACACGGTTGTAACCTTTTGTCTCCTGGCAAAATCAATGACTGCAAATTATATTTAGAGTAGATATGGAAAGTGAGACCACTCATCTCGAGTGACAGCTAAGATAATCATCCGCAATCGCCCAAGTGTCTCTGAAGCTCTTGCCGCTTTAACTAGGAAATTAGGATGAATAACTACACATGCACTAAAAAAAGAAACAAATTTCACTCAGAAATTGCTAGTAAATTTTACAAACAATGAGTTAAACATGAAATTCAGGAACAGTATCGCCGTGTAAAATGTACTCCAGTAATCTTTGTTTTAGTTACAGCTTTGAAAAGTCACTGCATGCATCTTCCAGTAAAATAAAATTAATGGAAAGCATCCTTGTTTTGACAGACTTCACAACTCGTGATTTCCTCTTAAATTTAATGCTCTCTAAACACTCTGAAACAACAGTGACTCTGTCAAAATCTCTTTCCCAGCAGACATCAGAGGAACTTTGAAGAGGTGCTGTTAGTGTCGATAGACTTTCCACTTCTTTTATTCTTTCCCCTTTTTCAATGTTAAAGCCCAACCACTGAGAGGCTTTCATTCTGCTTTTGTCTCACAGATGTGACCCACGCTTCTATTCAGTATCTCCGCAGGGGCACACTCAAATGAGCTCTGTTTTTAATGGCATAATGAAGCTCTCTTCCGCAGCATCATGGGAGGCCAACGTTAAAGGTTGGAGTTTGTATTGGATATGCCACAAAGAGGCTCCGAATGCATCGCAAAAGAAATTAATATTACGTTTCGGATAAGACGTCAAACATTGCGGCTGGTTCTTTGTTCGTGCCACCAACATAGCAACGGTAGCCTGGGCTGACATTTCCCGTTTGTTATGATGTTTTTTTCTTCATCCTGCTAGGTGCAAGTGCAATCTGCATGCCAACAGCTGTGTTTTTGACAAAGGGAAGCTGGGGTGCGAGTGCGAGCACAACACTACGGGGCCGGATTGCGCACGCTGCAAGAGACACTACCAGGGCCGAGCCTGGAGCATGGGCTCCTATCTGCCCATCCCCAAGGGTACTGCCAATATCTGTGAGTACATCCTGCCATCTCCTTCCCGACATGACTCATGGGAAAGCATAGTGCTCCATCAAGCACCGAAACGTGACCTTTTCAGTCGTGTTCCAAATGACATTTTACTTTGAGAGCAACAAAAAAAAGGACTGACAATAAGCCTGTAGGCAGCACATATTACAGAAACTCAGGTTTTCCTACAGCTCCAAAAAATGTATAACTAGTGGCAAATGGCAGGCTTCTGAAATCAGTGTTATTTTAGTATTACTGATATACTATTATATGTTTTGTGAATATTTTGAATTAGAGTTTTACTTTGATATTTTGTGTTTAAGTTTTTAGTAATTTTGTTCTTTTTAGTAGTTATATATTTAGTTTTAGTTGTTTTAGTACTTCAAGAAATGTTGCCTTGATAAGCTAAAATAGGTTTAATAATTTTCTTTAAAAGGTGGGTTTTACTTTTACTTAGTTCTCAGTTTTACTTTTAGTTAACTACACTGAAAAAAATGTTTCATTCATCCAATTAAAAAAAATTTGGTAATGATTCACATATATTTTTTAACTTGAGCCAATGAAAAATAAATAACTTGCCCTGAAAACATTTTTTTCAGTGTATAATAATCCTGCTTGAAATTAGGAGGTAGCCTACAAATATAAACAAACATTTAATTAAGTAAACATGCACATTAAAGACATGTTCAAACATTAATGCATCATTCTCTGAAACTTACAGTTCAATTAAATGGTGTTTTTTTTTAATTTCAGTTAATCAGAGAATCCTAAACAAATCACTGTTTCCACAAAAATATTAAGCAGCACAACTGTTTTTTACATTGTTAATAATAGATAGCTTTATTAAAAACCCAATACCAGGACACATCTGTGCCCAACAGAGGAAACCAAGGACCACCTATATCAAAAGCAATATTAGCACCTGTTTTGGCAAGAAATCCACAATGCAACAGGCTTGCATATGAAATCAAAATAACATTATTGCCCCTGCAGGTTTGGTGAAATCAATAGTACTCGATTGTTGCATCGTTTCCCTTCTCGCAGATGAGCACGATCGCAGTGACATGCCACTTCTCCTACGCTGCTCGTATTACATGTGAGGTTATGAAACATATGGCTCTCACATAAAGATAAATTTGCTGAAAGTGCAGAATTTAATCGAGCTGTAATAGCTTTCATCTGTCATCAAGTCTTCTGCTGTGATCACAAGGGCAATTTATCTCTATGTTAAGATTCATGGTATGCAGGACACTGCTCATGCAGATATATGGCTGCATGTGACCTCCCATCTAATAATTCAGCAGGAAATGAAATCCATGTCTTTGTCTGTTGGGATGGGCTTAGAAAGTCAGGAGAGAACATTTTGAGAGAGAGCGAAAGTGTCCTGCTGTGCCTTTACACCAGCACCGTACTGCCAGACACAGTAGAGGAGATTTCTCTATGTATAAAACAAGGCTGGAAAGGGACAAGTTTTTGGTTACACTGGGTTTGAGTTAACTAATGGGTTACTGTTAATTTTTTGCCGCAACAAAATGCTAATCATCGTGGTGGAGGATTGAGAATGTGTCCAATTTATTTCCTGAGTTTAAATTGGATTTTTTACATTGCATTTAAAATTTATGAAGGGGACTAATATATATATATATATATATATACAGTATATTCAGAGAAATTTCTCTGTATTTTTATAAGTGATGGTGTCAAGTTCTCAACCCAAGGCAGGGGGCTCATTGCCCTAATAAATCTAATGAAGTCAGTAACTGTAGCTCAGAGACAGCGAGAGGCTCGGCACTGTCCAGATGGTGAGAGGAGAACTCTCTGGCCCCCTCACTGCAGGTCCACTCAAAACTTAGTCACTGCCATCAAGCACAAGCCATATACTTATGCAGTCCCAAGCAAAGGACATTTTACCAGATGCTGCATCGCAAGGAGGAATGCGGCAGCGACATTTCAGTTTATGAATGTTCTTTTCTGCACTCTCAACACTGCAGTGATGCATGCGTGATCTTTTATGGCAATATTAGATTCAGTGCACCTAAAGTGCTTTTGTGTGAGTGTGTAGGCGGTTGTGTATGAGTATACATGCATTTGAAAGCCTTTAATACTGTTAATTTTTTGCCGCAACAAAATGCTAATCATCGTGGTGGAGGATTGAGAATGTGTCCAATTTATTTCCTGAGTTTAAATTGGATTTTTTACATTGCATTTAAAATTTATGAAGGGGACTAATATATATATATATATATATATACAGTATATTCAGAGAAATTTCTCTGTATTTTTATAAGTGATGGTGAGTAACTAGTTACATGTAACGGAATTACATAATTTAATTACAAAATAAATGTAACTGTAAAATGTGTAATTAAATTAGTTACTTATGAAAATGCTAGTGATTACAAAGGGGATTAGATCTGAATATTTTCACACACACACACACAAACAAACAAACATACACACAGATTTATTTGATTTCATTCCCAAATTGCATTGACTTCTGTAAAATATGAGACACCAATGTTTCAGGAGTTTAGGACACAAAATAGGACACTTGCTTATTCGATAACTGTTTTATTTCATATTTGGGTTTATGTATATGCTTTATTTTTTAAGTTGAAATGTTTTTTCTAACACAACTCTTTTTGTTAGATGCCAGTGTTTCCTGTCATAGCTATGCAAAGAATTGATTTCAAAAGCAGTATCATAACTACTAAGCTATATCTTATGATTTTCAATCTATATTTAACCTCAGAACTGTCTCAAAGTAAGAAGAGGTGCTAAAGACTGATTTTGTGGTGACTGTGCTTTAAAATTATATTTTTTATAATCTTAATTCAAGTGTCTGAGAGTAATCAGTGTTGAGTCCATAAGGTTAACCCTGCCTGGTTTAAATGTTTTAAAATGATTAACAGTTGAAAACATTCATTAGAAATTTAGAAAGGTAATCAAAAAGTAATCCAATTTAATTAGTTACATTACTTTAATAAGTAATTAAAATAGTTACACTACTAATTACATTTTAAATAGGGTAACTTGTAATCTGTAACCTATTACATTTCCAAAGTAACCTTCCCAACACTGATTTTTGTGATCATATACATAACTTGTATGTTATTTTCATTAACATTAATAACAATTACAATTAATGTTATTATTGTTAATGAAAATAACATACAGATATGTTATGTGTATGATCCTGTTTATGGGTAATTTCACAAAAAATGTAAATATATAATAATAATTCTATCATATATAGATATTAAATATATATTCTTATTTGTATATACATATTTGTACATATTTATGTATATATACACAAATTTATAACTATATATTCAGATTTATATTTATATATCCAGACTTACATATTCAGATTTATTTCTGTATATTCATGATTTACATTTATATATTCTAACTTGTGACTATATACTGTATATATTATTTCCTGTTTGGTCGTTTATAATATATATGGTGGATAGTATATGCTTTATTTACCTTCCAGTGGGACTTACTTTTCCGTGAGGACATAAGCAATAAAAAAAAAAAACAATCAAACAAGGTTCTGGACAGTCTCTATAACTTTCTGATTATAATGAGCAGTTGCGGATTCCACATCACAAGCAATGACAGAACTGAATAGTTTCAAGATAAATTCAAACCACATGAAACTTAAGAAGTTCTCTTTTTCATTAGTCAAGAACAACACAATGTTTTGTGACTACATTAAGTTTCTCTGTATTGCAGTTCTGTACTTTTCTCTTCCTGTCATTCCAATTCAAATTCCAATTCAACATCCAGCGGGATGTGACAAATTCAGTTGAAATTCCAGCTCATGAACTGAAAAGAAGCCGATTTCATTTCATGAAATTCATGAATTTATGCTCTGTGTACTACAGTATATAGTTTTGTGGAATTGATCGTATTCGTTTATGCACAAATGTCACATTAGCATTGCATACAGATGCATTCTTCATATAAACAGCAAAAATGCATGAAATACTTATAATGTGTATGTGGCAGCCTTAACCAGGCAGAACCTTAAGATCTTGATCTTATGTTTGCAGAGGAGGATTTTCAATTCTGTGCGCTTTTTGTGTCCCATGTGGGAAGAACAGGTGCTTGAGAAGCGAAGAATTATGTGTGTTCGGTACTTTTGTGATAAATAAGATGTGTTTTGGTTTAATCAATGCACACTGAGCTCATCCACCAGCTGTCCACTTCTGCCTGTTTTCCAGACTTGTCATTCATAGCTCAGGTGAGCAGAATTCCCAATTAGCTTTGAGTCGCTAACGCTGTAATGAGGTCTATGATGTGCCGTGAGAGCTCAACGCGAGAATTCAACCACGTCTAACTCTTTTGGGACTAAACATAATGTGGCGATAAAATATCTGTTAGTCGCTGTTGCTAGGTTAAGCATTGTACTAAAAAACCTGCGGAAACTATAATACAAAAGATCACAGAGTGTAAAGCACCTCAGTGGTCTGTGGTTCTGAAGGAATTGCATGCTGAGATATTCAGTGCCGTTATTCTTTGAACAGTGTCCTATAGACTGACTGGAGAGCAGCACGTAGGTGCAATGGTTTGAAATGTCAGGCCTGTCACAATAATAATATAAAAAAAGAATCTGATGGATAGAAAAGTTCAATCATTTATTAAAATGTGTGCTACCTAACAGCACTGCTGATTAATGAATATTAAATAACATAAAACACTCTGGCAGGCCGCATGTACTCTAGCAGTTAAAAGAAAGAGCTACACAATTAATTTTGTAGACAAATGCAAACTGTGCCCATGCATTTATTCACAAAATTAACATTTGTATTTATTCTAAATGTTGGAGTGGGTAGTAGAAAAAAAACAGTCAACGAGTAAGCCTAAATACACACCTGGAAATTCCTTCAATATGGTTTAAAAAAATCCCACATACTGCCATTTGTGTTGTTTCATAATGTGATGAAACGTTCATTATAGTTTACATTTAGTCTAAATGTAATGTTTTGCCATGTATACCATAATTTACGACTGTCCTTGAGTTTCAGCCCTGTTTAATTAAAAATATATATGTTTTATGTTCTTTAGAAATAAAACAGGTGCTGGAAAAATATAACTTTTTTTTTTGTATAAATTCATACATACATATAAATAGGAACTACTGGCCCAAAAGGTCAAGAAAGAAAAAAAAAACACTCATTGTTGATCCCTGCCAATGCAAATGTGCTTTTTGAAACAAACAACAGTTTAAGACAGTTTTGTAATTGCCAGTGATGATACGGTGGCACACAGAACTGCTCATTACAATCAGAGAGTGGCCAGAATCATATGAGCTGGTTTGATTATGTTTTTTCCTCCATATCTGATGTCCTCACTGAAAACATGAAGCTGTGAAGCAAGGTTATCACATATTTATCTGACTTTTTAAAAAGCTTCTGTAAATGTAGTTTAATTCATGCTAGTTCTTTCTTTCCCCCCCAGGTATCCTGAATAATCTTGGCACCTCTGGTGAGTTTTTCACTCATGGTATAATGAACATCATTTGTATTGTATTTATATAGATAAGAATATTTAATATGTAAAACAGAATTCTTTCAAATATTTAAACATACTAATTCAAGGCCTGGTGATAAAAGTGACTGAAACCCAGTAGATTAACACTGGATTAATGAATAATACTGAACAAAAGCCAAGAAATATTTTGATTAATATTAATATTTTTCATTTCATCAAGTTCGACCAAATGCTTCTTCTCTTGGAGCAGCAAACCGAAATCAAGGTAAGACTTTCAGAAATCATCTCATTAATGCCTGTAAAACATCCAACCACAGACATTTTTTTTTTCAGCTTGAGGATCCAAACCCTCATACTAACAAAGCGCCTTTGTTTGTGTCTACTTTGATCTCCTCTACGATTTCAGTCGAGCCTCAAATCTCAAAAGACTCTCCAAGAAACAGTTTTGAGTGACTCATTGTCTGCGGTTAGTTTGTTGTTAGGGTGTTGATGACAACGATATGTTTAGAATTAGAAAACAATAACATGAAAAAAATGTTAACGTTGTCATATTCAAAAACCCATCATGGCTATGAACTGAGATTTGATGGTTTCTAATGCTAGTCAGAGGCTGCTAAAATTTATTTTGTCACTAGTATATATGTAGATGGTCTCAAAGCTTAGGTGTGATCTAAAAGACATTTTGATTTCATGGGGTTTTTAAGAAAAGAGGATTGGAAAAAAAACTGAAGGCTTCTCATTTTCAGCTCTCCTGCTGATTGTGAGTGACAGAGAGTGGTCTCTTTTCTGTCAGGACCAGAAGCAGAACAAAACAGAGGATTGTGAGATTGTGAGAATCTGTCTGGTTGTTCAACACCTTACATCTTCTAGATCCAAACCTTCGTTTAGTAAGCAGCCAGCGGACAGTAGTGTTTAACGATGACCTCCCGGATATCAGGCTCTTCTAATAACCTCTCAAATGTAATTAGTTTCAAGTATCTGTTTTCTTGTGCCTGGCCTCTTCATGGAAAAGAAGAGCGAATGTGAGGAAAAAAGATGAGACGGCGGTAGGTTTATGTACACAGATTTCAAAGACTTGATTGAGAATAATATCTCAAGCAGACGAATACAGTGGAGAAACCATCACTCAGACCATAAAAAAAGAGATACACAGGGTAGAAAAGAGTGCTGGAAAAGATGTGCACTGGACACTGACATTTGTTAATGAGTTAGAGAGTAGTAAATGCTGATAATCAATAGAAAAAATACAGTGTATAATATATGGGAACTTACAGTAAAATAGCTTGTAGATGATGAGCAGAAAGCATCATATTCTGTTATCTTTATTTTATTCTAAAATAGTGGTTTTCAAATGGTGGGTAACAGCCTGAAAATGTCTTACGGGTCTGTTCTGTTCTGCAAGGGGGGAAAAGAACAATGCTAAATAAAATTCAACTAACTGTATACATGTGCCTTGTTCAGAGAGCTAGATAAATAGATTTATACAGTACATACTATTTTGTCAAAAATAAAACAAAAACTACAATCAATAATAATTTACAGTATGGAAAGTGGATAGTTACGTTGAGATTAAAGATTACATTTAACAGTGAAAATAAAAACGTTTTTGTTTACTTTTGAACAATGAACAATTTTGGTACTGCATTGGTGACTTAATGTCCAAATTTTAAAAACAACTGGGTCTTGAAACCAAACCGGTTGAGAATCACTGATCTACTGTAGGCATATATATAATACAATGCAGGACCAATGAGTTGTACTACAGTAACACTTAAGCTACTTAAAACTATTAACTAAAATGGAAACTGGATTAAGTAATAGCAAATTTAAGGCAGGGATAGTTCCATATTAGGTCATCAGTAATTACTGAATTAAACTAATTTACAAACTAGCAAATATCTATGATAAATTTTTAAATATTACCAATTATTCAACAGTTATACAACAAGAGTGCAATATTCTAGTGATATCAGAACGTCTCGGTTACGTATGGTAACCTCTCAGTAGAGTAGTCAGGAGCAGAACGATGTGATCGCTCGGCTCCGAAGCGAAAAGCTGAATATGCGCTGCATCTGCTGCCTACTTATACTCACGCTGTGATCAGCGGCAGCTGGATGCAATAATCGCATGCCAATGTGCATTGGCTCGTTTAGTTTACACTCGAAGTAGATTGGTCTCTCTAAGCGAGATCCCAATTCGTCAGTCATCCGACGTGACGTCGAGAGTGACCGACTGAAAGGGAACTCAGAACTGTTTCACCATTTGTATCATGTATAAACCGCTTGCAGTATTTCTCACAGCGAGTGTCATGGCAGATGCCCAAATCCATTATAATTTTATAAATAATACGGTCACAGAATGTAGTTTCAACAGTGTAGTTTTTAGGCAAGAATTTACTTGAATAGACTTCAAATATGTGGTTTGTTAATAAAGATAATGTCTATTGAAAATTTGCTTCAATGTTTTTGGAGCTCAATGTGAGCTCCAGGGCGTCAGCAGGCGTTCAGTGCTCATAAACCCACCGAGAGCAGCCTTACCTCAGCCAGTTCTTCTGCAATTTTCAGCTGGCTCTGATGTCTCTATAGTGGTTAAACATGAGATATAATTCATTTTGGGTAAATTGAATGGGCAGTCTTTGGTTTCATTAATTTATTATTTGTTCCAGATCATACAGTTTTGGCTGAGGGCAAAAGCCCATCACATTATATTTTGTGTAACTTCAATGCTGTATACCAGTGCGCTGCCTTTGGACTGTTGACTGAATTGAATTGATGTTTTTGAATTAGTAATGGAGGCTTGGGAAGTAGTTCTGCACAAAAGAGGGTTTTTAAAGACACTCCGTTATTGTTTCCTATGTATTTGCACAGTCATGCCATAAAACTGTTGTATAAACACAATAATCACACTCATAGTCATGCGATATGGCTGTATATCAGCACGCTGCGATTACCTACAGCACTTGTGTGATATTGCTCATTTAATTATTAACCACAACATTAACATATCTGATATGTGACCAAAACTTTGAACATGGTCATGGAATGCACCACTAATTATCCAAGTGTTACCTAGTTACTCCGCAGTAACATCTAGTGAACTGGACCATATACTGTAACATTTTTCACTTTAAAATAATGCTCCAGATCATTAGTAGTTCCTGCTGAGTAACTACGTAACACTGGAGTAATTAATGGTGCGTTCTATGACCATGTTCACAGTAAAACAGAAAATTGTTCACATCTAGGACTTTTCTAAGACACATCTAATATTGTGTTTACTTTAATCTCATTTAGACATTACTGATTACCTAATTAAGAACTATCTCAGTCCTCGCTATAATTAGTTAATCCTGTTTCCATATTAGTTAATAGGACCGTAGTAACTGAAGTGTTACTGTAGTACTGAATTACTTCCTGCATAGTTACCGATTTATGACTCACTTCTAATCTAAAGCATTATCACTAAACTGAAAAAGATCTTTAGTCTCGTCCATAATAGTACACCACTCTGAGATTGTTCATCTCAAAAAGGAGCACTGAAACCTCTTCTCTGACTTGTCAGGGAACGAATAGATATTTCGCATTCATGCGTCACTATTGCTCAACTCAGGAGCTGCCTGTTCTGTTAGCGTGTGAAAAAGTCACCATAAGCGGCGAAGGTGCGATACAGCACATATGTCTCCCAGGGAGAGACAAACCTCGGCCAGGGTTCACACCTCTCGTTTTTTCTTAGGTCAGAAGGTAAAGCACAACACAAGTGCAAATGCAATCTACACCACTGTACACCACATGTGACGGATGACCTTGCACGTCTTTGACGATGAAAATGAAGACCGGGACAGACGTGAGTGTCTGTGTGTTCAATGCTCCCTCGGTGCGTATGTACATATTTGAAGAAAGATGCAGTCAAAGAAGCAGCAGCAGCGGGTCTGTCTTCTGGGTACACTTGAACCGCACCCTTCGCTCGAATCTAATCTTGGGTACAGATGCTCATGGAAAGACAATAGCTCTGTAGGGTCCTCTGGAGGCCTGTCAGCATTTGGATAATCCCATACACAGTGAACAAAGTAAACTCCAAGCCTGGAGATTTAAAGTTTAAATCCCAGCTAAATCTTTCCAGAGTTGTCACTCAAAACGGACACTGAGCTTTTCTGAGCACCAGTTAAACCATGCCAGATGGGCTTTTCGTGGGGAGATATGAGAAAAAAAAGTGATATTTCAATGTTAAAACTGCCCTCAGCACTTAAAATGTTTAAAAGTGTCTCTTTTGAAGTGATGCATTTCTGTTTGTTTGTATAATAGTTGAATTTCAGTAATAGTGCAGAAAAACTGTCTATATTTAAACTAAATGCACAATATAGCAACAATTTTGATGCGAAAAACCTCTTCACCATGTCACTGTGCAGCTCACACAACCAATCTTTTTGTGGCCATGCTATATTGTACACACTTGTGTTGGGCCTAATAGCATCTTTTAACTGTGATTACATTAGTGATTTATAGTCTCGCTGACTGGGGGTGTTTGGTGTTTCCCGAAACCAAAGTTATCGGAACTACGTATGATCGAAAGTTCTGTCATTATCAACATATTGCAGTTTAACGATTTAGTGTTTCCAAAAACCATAGTTCCAATGAACATGCATCAACAGCCTCAAAAATTTGTGTGATTGGAAATGCAGCTCTTGATCTGTGGTTAGAAACATTGTTTCTTGTTAGTTCAACATGTGGGCCTAAATAGCTCATGCTCGTGAACAAAATAAGCAAGCTAACATGTAGTACAATCTATATTTTTTCATTTTATATATGTACAAAACTCTACATCTTTTATTAGTTTGTCAAGAGAACGAAGAGTGTGCATGTGCATAAGTGGTTTAATACCGTGGGAAGCTCAGGAGTATGATGTGAGAGAGAACTTGCAACTGGATAAAACAACTGGAAATAAAGCAAAACAGCGGAGAACAAATAGCGAAGTATTCCTCAGATGCCATGTTGATTATTTACAACAATAATCTGACGAATTCAATCTTGAACCGATTAATTTTTCAAAGTTATTACTCCACTGCCTGCTTGATGTAATTAACAACAGTTGTTGATTATTGAAGCAACATGGCTCGAACAACAACTGTGAAGAGTTACTGCAATTTAGACAAACAGCCATGACTTGCTAGTTAATTTCTCCAATAATGCAGTGTTATTAATGTTAGTTAAGCAGCAAGTTACATCTTATGTATGGGAAACACACCTCTGGTTAGACTGATTTTAGAGGGTCAGCGAAAAAACTAAACCAGTTAAACTCTAGTTTGACCTGCTGGGAGACCATCGTAAACCAGCTAAGACCTAGCTGGCTGGTTTAAATGCGGTTTTAGTAGGACTATTGCTCATTGCTGGTTTTATTTAGTTTTGTTCTGTCCCTGCTTCTCAGAGGACCAAGATGAAATCCATCTGAATGAAGAAAGCAGAATGTAATTACACCCAGTTTCTGAGCAAATAGTCCTGTCTCTCCTGCCAAAGCAAATATTTTCCTCAATAATGGAAGCTAGTACAATGCAATAGCAATCATCTTTTTTCCACTAAAGAGCTTGTTTACAGGTCAAGAGGAGCAGATTAGAGCAATTCAGACTGGATTGGCACCATGATGTACATTTCATTGCACACCACTTCCCTGTTTGTCTTGAATTTGAACTTGAAATTTGAAGGGTTGGAAAAGCCTTGAATCTTAATTATGTGGTGTTTATTTTTCATTTTGCAATAATTAGATTATGGGTCCAACATCAGAAGTGTCAAAGCATTGTTGAACGGTTCATTTAACAATGGGTGTTGATTGAGTTTGCTGTAACCTTCACATGCTAAAAAGCACTAATCAACCTGGAGTTACCAGCAATGCAGCATCAACCCGTTCTCACGAAAAATCAACAATTTTACAAGGTGATCTCATATGAATTCATCTGAAAACTAATTATTTTAAGAAAAAAAAGGGGGCAACACTTTAGTATAAGGACCAATTCTCACTTTTAACAAGTTGCTTATTAACATGCCTATTATTAACATATTGGCTGTTTATTAGTACTTAAATAAACACATATTCTGCATGACCATATTCTACATCCCTAATCCTACCCAATACCTAAACTTAACAACCACCTTACTAATGATTAATAAGCAGCAAATTAGGAATTAATTGAGGTAAAGTCGTAGTTAATGGTTTGTTAATAGCAAGAATTGGACCTTAAAATAAAGTGTGACCGAAAAAAAAATAATTATGTAGTAGTAAAATTCAGATTAATTAGCCACCAATTTGCCAAAATGTATAATACTTAGGAATTGCCATGAGATTGTGTTGGCAGCATTTGGACTTTCTGTGGTAGCTTCATGCCAGATATTTGACAAAAGTCAGCAGTGGTGTCTTCGATTTTGGTCACACACACACTGAAAAATGTGTCACACAAAGATATATTTCCTGCCCCAAATCCCACCTCTCACTCTATGATTAATCATATCACTTCTGCAATATTACAGTGGGACTAACATCCCCCGTGGTGTCCTTAAAAGACACCGCTGAGCCTCTTGCCAGCGCCCATCATAAACAATCACACACACCGAAACCTGATGATCATCTTGATGGATGCACTTTTTTTCCTGGAAAGTGCTTCCTGGCGGGGGGAGGGAAGCGATGCATGTTCACTTCTCTTTTTCTCTGCTCCCCACAGCTCGAGTGTGTGACAACGTGCTCCTGCGCTGTCAGAACGGTGGCATGTGTCACCACCACCAGCGCTGCCAGTGTCTGGCCGGTTTCGGAGGCATACTGTGTGAGAAGGCCCAGTGCCAGGGTGACTCTTGTGAGGATCTGCAATCCAGCCAGCCGTCCCTCCACCCCCCGCCCGCGGCCCAGACTCTCCCACTGGCTCTTCTATCTCTCATCCCCTCCCTGCTGGCCACCCGGGGCCTTACATCACTCTGAGGGGAACCCTTTCGCCCCAAAGACATTCTCCACGGGGGCTCCAATCATGACTTCCTGTTAGAGGACACATGACGACTGAAAATAAATACTGGTGGGGAAAAAAAAAACGAAACATCTTTTTAGGAAACCGTAAAGTTTTCTACTCAGTACTATGTCAATTAAAGTTTGCCAGAGATGATGGATAAACTGAAAAACTAGAAACTGCAAGAGGAAATTTACAACAAAAAAACCAACAAAAAAAAGCTGACACTAATGACTGTTTTTGTTGAAAGAGCGCAGAAATACTGCAATACAATTTTTTTGGAGACAAATCATCAATGTGAAGATGAATCAAGATGTACTCGTAGACTGCCACCTGAATTTACGCACACACCAACACGACTGGTTGTCAAACTTCTCACATTTTACCTTTCCCTGACCCTCTCTCTTCTTTTGTAACTCTGTGAAGTCATGTAAAAGACCCATGATGTATGTCACACATGAATTGATCCAGATTATCATTCAGAGCTGGTGTAAGATCAAATATACAGTAACATGAGAGACAACTGTTGACATTTTGTACTAGGATGTTTTCATGGCAATGAGAATTAGAACAAGAAGAAAGACCCAGATCAGCAACGTGACTTTTTGCATCGCTGCAACAACCTGTAGAGTTTTGGGTTAATCCTTTATTGCCCTGATGAAGTTGAATATTCCTGTTCAGTTGCTAATCGTTTTGCTTAAAACATACGTTTACATTCTCACCGACCGAACTGTATGAAATGTTTCACCAAAGGGCTTTGGTGAGAAATCCTTTGTTGCTTGAACCCAACTATGTTTGTGAATTAAAGATGAAAAAAATAACTTTATTGCCATTTTGTGAAAGCGAATATTCAAAGACAACAGGTGATTTCTGTTCATGTGTTCTCAGAAGTTCAGGCTTGTTTTCAAAGCTCTTAGCAACCATACAAATTGCAGGTGTATTGAATTTAGTGGTTAGCACTCTCCCAAACATTATAATTGTTAAGAATGGTGTAAAAAGGCTAGAAACGTTCTTTGAACTCAAAATCAAAAACTGATATAGATGAAAGACATGTTCAGCTTTATGTCAGTGTTCTGAAAAAGGAATTTAAACATGATGGGCCTCATAGACAGATTCGGTTTAGACTTAGCAATTAGCTAACATACAATAAAGACTGATATACATGTAAGGTAAGGTCATTATCCAGCCAGTCATAATCACAGAATAAACCACATCAGAGTGATCAGAGATTATGACCACTTGACAGTAATCATTATCCTGCTTATTAGATGGCAACTTACCAAACTGAAACACTGCAACTATACTATTGCAATGTTTGTACTTTTTATAGCCTGATAATAATACACACTGCTGTTGAAAAGTCTGGGATCAGAAAGATTTTCTTTTCTTTTAATTAATACTTTTATTCAGCAAGGATGGAATAAATTGATTAAAAGTGACGTTACAAAGGATTTCTATTTCAAATGCTGTTCTTTTGAACTTTCTATTCTTCAAAGAATCCTGAAAAAATGTATCATGGTTTCCACAAAAATATTAAGCCACAATATTAACCATTTTCAACACTGATAAGAATAAGAAATGCTTCTTAAGCACCAAATCAGAATATTAGAATGATTTCTGAAGGATAATGTGACACTGAAAACTGAAGTAACCACTGCTGAAAATTCAGCTTTGCCAGTACCGGAATAATATTAAAACAATATTAAATAAATATTTTAAATTGTAATCATATTTTAAAATATTACTATTCTCACTGTATTTTTGATCAAATAAATGCAGAATTGGTGGGCACAAATGACTTTCAAAAACATTTTAAAAAAATCTTACTGACAAGCTTTTGAATGGTAGTATATATTATATACTGCATTTAGCTTATATCTTTAGGTCTATTTTAAGTTCTCTCTCTTTGTGGGTAAATGATTGGGTGAACTATCTTTTTAATGTACCCAAATTATCAATTACTGGATGACATTCCTGTAGCTCAAACTGTAAAACATGCTTCTAGCAACACCAATGGTCATGGGTTCAATTGCATTAACTGGTAAAATTTAAAAACCTTCAAATGCAATGCAAGTCGCTTTGGGTAAAAGCGTGTGCAAAATGAATAGGTGTTAATGTAAATGACCCTATCACTCAATAGCTGGTACTCTACAGTCAAGGCATAATTTCTGAAAGCTCAAATTTCAACTGAAATCTACTCATAAATATAGTACTAACGGGGCTGGATCGGAGGACATGGCAATAAAAGTTTTCCAGCAGAGACTGAAATAAAATGTAAATCACAAAACGAATGAGTAAGAGAAGTGTGTTGACGAAATATGGATTGGAGAATGTCACTCACTGCGAGGCATAACATGCAGTCGTGATACGGCAATAATTTTCAAGTCCACGCTGGGCACTCGAATGGAAATTAAGTCATTCTGTGCCTGTGACACACAGTGGAAGCGGGTCTGAGGCTGGATAGATTACATTAGTGAGATTAGGCCTCTTCATTTCAATCAAATTAAATCCTCTATCGCCCTTGATCTTAATAACTTTTCTCCCAAAAGACAAGTATAAGTGAAGATGTCATTTTATTTTGAGAAATAACTGTCATGTCCATTTACTCCATTGTAAATTCCATTGATGATTAGGTCCAGGTTCACCATTTTTGTTTCGACTCATTTCATTCAGCTCAATAGATGCGGTCAAATAATTAGAAACACTTTGCACTTCCAAGATGGAAATTTAAGATTGGCCAGATAAATGAGTATAAACATTGCACCCTCAAAAAAACAAGCCGTACCGCATCTCATTAGGTTTGAATGCAAATGCTGTCAGAATGCTAATGAGTCTGTAATGAGACTGAATACAAACTCCCCCCAGCAGACTACCACCTCTATTTCTGACGGACATCAAGGGTCAATGAGGATACATGACATTCTTCATTCCTCATACTTTACAATAATAACTGGATGCTCTTTAGAAAACAGCTTCTTTTTCAACCGAGACTATTGTTATACATTTTAGCAGCTATTTTTACACAATGTGTCCCTGATTGTGTATTTTGAAAGCTCTGCATACTAAAAAGGTGAAACAATTCTTTGACTTTCCCTCAAGCTGTGAATGAATCCGGAGGCTATTATTTGTCACCTGTTGGAAACAACATCGACATGAGTATATACACAAACTCTAGATGAATCATTTTACAGTGCGATTTCAAAACTACACAAAAGGCCCCTGAGACGGTGAAATCTCTTTCAGTACGGTCTTTATACCATCACTGTGGGATTATCAATGGCTTACAAAACTAATGGCTCGTTCTCAAGGTCCCATTTTTCAAAGCGGCAGAACGACATGAGGAGCTTCCCACTTGAGACTGTCCCTGACAATGTTACTAGGCCAAGATGTCCCACACCTGAGATGAGAAAGAACATGATGTATATTTCAGCAAGGCTGTAAAACATCTTTTTATGCCTTCCTGCTTCTCCTGCAACTTTCTGGACCATTTTTAAACTTTTAAAGGTTATAGTGTATCAGGAATGTGTGCATAGCTCATGGTCATGCACTTGATGGATGATTATTGAAGCACAATGTTTTTCAAAGTACAGGAGACTCAGCAGAGTAGATACCAGAACACTGCCATAAAACATTACGCCTTTTTTATTTTTCTCCAGGATGTGGCCTGTTTACCAAGAATGATGCTTTTCTCAGAATAATGGCCACATCCATCTCTAAGGAACAGGACTGTAATGCTTTATTCAAAGCAGGGTGTGACACTTTGTGAAAGCAGCTGCTCATTTACACTTCTTGGAGTAAAACCCAGCTCACAGTATACATTAGAGATCCAGTTCGCCCTTTTCCCTTATGGCATTTACAGTGGGGTCCAAAAGTCTGAGACCACTAGTGAAAATGCTTCCGTTTAATCATGCCAAATTGTATTATCAATCTGGGCTACAAGGAAGGTGTCACAAATTTGCTTATTTGATTAATTGCCTAAACAGGAAGTAGAAGAAGAATTTTTCAAACTTGTTTATGTTTAAATAGGATTTTGAATATCTTATGCCCTGATCAGATTTGAATCTCTCAAATATATGCTGCACATTCTCATTAGATGATTAAATGCCATATATACTATCATGTAAAGCCAAATACACTATCGATACACTATCAATTTTTTACATTTTTGAAAGAAGACTCACCAAGGCTGCATTTATTTGATCAAAATTACAGCAAAAACAGTAATACAGTAAAATAATTTAATATATTTGAGGTTGAATTTTCAGCAGCCATTACTCCAGTCTTCAGTATCACATGATCCTTAAGAAATCATTCTAATATGCTGATTTAGTGCTCAAGAAATATTTGTTATTATTATCAATGCTGAAAACAGTTGTGGTGATTACAATTTTTGTGGAAACCGTGATGGATTTCTTATTCAGGATTCTTAAATTAAGATTAGATTCGTGCTGGATATTAACCACAGGGAGCTTCGCTTCGGTTATCTGGCCCAGTGTGTGCCATGCCTTTCAATTATCTTCAAGGACTAAAGGGTGGGACATATTTAGTCAATGCATTCTTGGATCCTGCCAGTCAGCATTACATAATTAAACATGATTAATCCATAATTGGAGACATGCAGTTAATTGTCCATAAGCAAATACTGTATATGGGGTATATATGCATTATCTAGTGAGCAATAATAACTTCCTGTCTTGCTAAAAATTGATTCAGTAAATGGCCACACCGTGGTTGTGATTCTTTAAATAGCAGCCATAACAATGCACACATTTTCTGTTTCAGCTTAATCTGGTTAGGTTTCATTTAATCAGGTTACTTCCCATCCTGGTAAATCAATAAAGTGTAAATCTAAAAGGATTAACTCAGAATGTTGTAGTTGTATACGAGGTGAGGGAGATGTGACACCGTTATACATTTTCCATTTTGGAGACAGTTTTAGGGTTTTATAAGCACTCTACTCAGGGTCAAAGCCATTAGCAAGCATCTGAGATCTTTTTTCACATCTCTTGCTCTGTATATTTCAGTTGTTGGAACCTTCTCTTCTGCAATAAGGGAAACATAATCAGATTGCAGCTGTTGTTGTGAGGTCAGCTACTGTGTTTTTCTGGCTCTCCTCAGTGCTTAAGTGAAGGGTGTACAGGTTCAGAAAGGAGAGTACAGGGATGCATTAATACAAAAATACTAAATTGGGATTAAAATGTTTATAACCAGGGGTTAAACTAGGTCAGCATTAATGCTTAATCAGTCACTTTTGACTTGTTTTGCAGTGGGGAAAAAAATCTAAAGATCCGTAAAACAAAATCAATTTATTTAACGAGCAAAAATGTGTAAAACTGAACTACCGTTCAAAAATGTGGGTCGGTAAGTTTTTGTTTTTCTTTTATTCAGCAAGGATGGATTAAATTGAACAAATATGAAAATAATGACATTTATAACAATACAAAGGATTTCTGCATCAAATAAATGCTGTTAAGTATCATGGTTTCTACAAACTATATACAACTGTTTTCAACATTGAAAAGAAAGGTTTCTTAAAACCCAAATTAGCATATTAGAATTATTTCTGAAGAACCATGTGACTAAAGACTAGACTAATGACTGCTGAAAATTCAGCTTTGCCATCACAGGAATACTTTATTACGTTTTATTGCATTAAAACAACATTTTTACATTAATGAAAATATGCCATTTTAAATTGCAATTTTTTTTTCAAAATATGTATATTTGAATGTATTTTTGATCCAATAAGTGTAGCAGTAAGATACATCTTTAAAAAAATTAATAAAAAAATAAAATAATCTTACTGACCCCAAACTTTTGCACTGTAGCATGCCATAGGGCTGCATATATTTCAAAAATACAAAAATACATTGTTTTTTTGTTTAGTTTTTTGCTTATCCCACTTTTTTCTTGTTTTAAACAAAAGCCTCACTGCTATCGTTTGTTGGATTTTATGCATAAAAACAGACACTTAATTTCCCAATGGGGCTAGGGGGAAAAAATCAAGATTAAAACAGATATACAGTGGACTAAAAAATGTTGGAAATGCCTTCGGCCACGTTTAAAACAATATCAGCATAATTCTTTTTTGGCATAACTTGCAGTTGTCACTGAAAACCAGCAACAATTCATTATTTTTTGATTACATAATAATGATAGACATGTCACAGTCAGGCATGCTTCTTTGTCAGCTGTGATGCCTGATTACTGTGATGCCTATTAAACAGCTTTCTTGTTTTATAGGGTCAGAACATCATCAGTTTTACTGATTGATTGCCAATTTAGATCAGAACACAACCGACCAATTAGAACACAGTTTAGATACAGTTGTTTCAGTAGGCTATTCCTATACTGTTCATTTGAAAGGAATTGTATTCTCAATCTCATAAAATCTAAAAATTATTAATTCTGTTTTTAATTAAAGTTTTCTGTAAAAACACCAGAGGTTGCAAATGCCATGTGGCCACACAGAGATTATGCAAGAGCCCAGGATGGAAGGCTGTATGCAATGATCTTGTTAGTTAGCGCACACAATGAACAAGTAATCCACTTTCAACTGCAGCTAAGCACGATTGCATATAAAAATGCTGCTGAACTAAAATAGCCATATGGTTAGAAACCGAAAGGATGAAAGAACTCAGAAAGCTTCGGTCTTATAAAAGGAGGACGAGACTACATTCTTCATCAACAACTGCCTTATCAGATATAATGAGTGCATTTGCATATAACCTTTATCTCACTTGTAGCTTGTTGATGGAGGCTGCAAAATTACAATGAAGAAAAAGAGAAAGCGAATGGAGCCATTGTGAAGAGTAGTAATGAAGCTTGTAGGGTTCCATATGTGACATACATTCTGCTTATTTATCAGTGTAAACAAAGTCAAAGAATTAGTAGGGTTTTCTATTCCCTTATATTGTAGATGAACACATTTTAGAAAGGGGACACAAGCTGCATCAATTTTAACAGGCAAGACACTTCCGAACAAGTATAATGAGAGAAACCATTGGTGAAAAAACATAAATCAATGTGTTTCATTCTACAATGAGCTCTGTGCCATCAGTTCAGAAGAATACCTGTGGTGAGCAGAGACATGTGGGGTTGTATTTAGTGATTATTCATCAAATGGGCTTCACGAAGACAGTTTGATGGACATGGCATCATTAATGCATAATGTAGAGCGCTTAGGTCACTCAGTCATCAAATATTCAGCAGTTAACACAAGCACTTAGACGTGAGTGTCACGAAAACATGCATTATGTACTAATTGAACTTTTGTGTTATGTGAAGACCGAATATGAATACGATTTGTTCATAGTTATGTATACACTTGAGGGTATAATCACAGAAAGCCACACTGCTTAGATCAAACTTCGATTCAAGTTGTCAAGCGACACCAGAGTCACAAGCCTCATCATTCACTCCTGAAATGGATTTTAAAAATGACTTAACATGCAGCTGAATTTCTGCTGTCTTTAAATTGGAAAGACATTATAACCGTCCTAGTTACTTTGCACTGGATGGGCTACAAGAAATCACCTTCCTTGTAAATACCAGAATTAGTCTGATGTGAAAGACGTCTACCAAAAAATAAATTCATGCAGAAACAAAAATGGTGTTTCATTCAGCATGTTTTCAAACAATATACACATTTTGTCAGACACAAACCCCAAATATTGCAAGTCATTTACATACTATTCAACAAGTTTTCAATGAGAGTGTGTGTGTGTGTGGAACTGAAATGTCCAGCACAGTCCACTGCAGGTTGAGATCAAAAACAGTTCATAAAATAAAGAAAACCAGTCCTATCTATAGATGAGCAGAGTTATGAGGGCTGATGATGATGTCCTAAACTTGGATGTCTGGTCAGCATGAAGATTTCATTCCAAATACACCCAAGGAGTTGCTTCAGCAATATAGTAAGGCCATAGTCCATAAACACAACGAGGTAGCATAAATAGATCCTCTACAAAAGAAAACATCAAATAAACTAATTAAAGGTGCAGTAGGAGATCTTGGAAAATGCTAACTTTAGCCTGATATCACTGAAAGCGAATGTCCCACCCTCCCTGCAATCGTTGTCCAAAGCCACGCCCCCTGAACGCACATAGGTAATAGACTACAATAGGCTACAGCGGTTCCCAATTCCATTTCTTGCACACTGCACATTTCATATGTATCTCTTATCACGTGTGACGTTTGTTCTATTCGACCGTAAGTGCCCTGCGAAGTGGATATCACCAGATATTCCACCATCCAATTCGAAGCAAGTGTATATGTTCCATACAAAGGGTATTAAAATGTGCGAGACGTAAATTTAAATAGTATTTATTTACAGAGGTATATTATGTCACACTTCTCTAGTAAGTTTCATCTGTGTGTGAACTCTGCGCAGCGCAAATCCGTGAATTAATGTTTCCGAAGTGAAGTAAACTTCAACGGATTTCCCCTGCTCAGGGAGTAGGGAGCAATGAACACTGTGTAGGGATCATATCGATCGGAACACAGTTCATGCACGTAGCTCACTTCTAACGAGCTGGTTATCTGAATCGGGTGTGTTAACTAAGCGAGACATGCAAAATATGCAGAGCGGGGGGCGCGAGGACTGGAATTGGGAACCGCTGGGCTACATCATGTGTCATTCACCAGTGAGAAAACTTTAAAAGTACTACAATACCAGGAAGGAAGATCGGGTTTTTGATGTTTGTCTGCCATTCTCTCTCTGTCTGCACAGCGTGCGTGAACGTGCTAATGACGTATCCTGTCTGCGTGAACAGGGTGCGCAGAGGTATGCTAATACATACGTTGACAGGCAGGTAGGAAAGCCAATTAAAACGCTCGGACCGAGCGTTTTGATTTGACGAACATTTCTTGGTCCTACGCCTTCCACAGAATATATAAATACAGACAAATACATTTAGACCACTTAACTTAATGATTGCTATCGGGATGTGAAGACACTTTCAACCAGCATTACAAAAAATGTTTCTGAAGACAATCATCTATTGCACCTTTAAACTTAGCAAGCTCCATTTAAGTTCACCAAAACAATGGAAGCAATCAATAAACATTAAACTTACGTTTGAGCAGGAAACATAAAGGTTTCTCAAACAGGATTACGATGTAGGTCACAGGCAACCATGAGGCAGCTTCAAACAGAACCAAACACCAAATAAACTTAATTAAACTAAGCAAGTTCACCAAAACAATGGATACAATCATTAAACTTACGTTTGAGCAGGAAACATAAAGGTTTCTCAAACAGGATTAGGAAGCAGGTCGAGGCAGCTTCAAACAGAACCTAGCACTTACTCTACTACTTCCTGTTTTTATTTAATCCAGGGTGAGCTACATGTGTCCCCCTAGTGGCTAGTATGAACATAACATGAACATAACTGTGACAGTAGGTGACTGTTACAACGTATACAGGAGAGTCCAGGACTAGTTGTTGCAAATTCTCAGAAACTTGACTAAAGGTTTTGAGTCAAAAAGTCCAATTACACAAATGCGTTTTCCTCTAGCAGTTGTTTTGCAAACATCTAATTGAAAACTTCAGTCACCTATATGATCAAGGTAGATTTTAGGTTTATCTGCGTTCACAGGACAGGGTATGGACCCTTTTCCCAAGACTGTGATGACGTGTTTAACGGTCATCAGCATCGTAAATCCTCGAAAGTTTTTCATATTTGTATTTTAAAAAAAATTTATCTACATTTATAACACTATTCTTTGTATTATATCACCTTTGCATCAAATTACAAAAAAAACAGTTAACGCTAATGCGAGGGTGTTTCTAATGCAGCGTCTATGGGAGGGACGGTAAATTTGACATCGTTCTCTCTTCTGACAGCCGTTATCAGTCTCTCTCAATTTTTTTTCTTTTATTGAAATTCATGAAAACACTATCGTGGAGTTTTTCTTTTGCTATTTGAGCAAATGGGAATGCAAAACATATATTTGTGGTACTCTTCCATTCACTGCTATTCAAGTTAACCCAACTATGACGACTTCCGCTGCTGAGAAACCCGGAAATGTGAAAAAGGTCCATTATTCATTAATGTCAGGTTGGGGTAAGTTGTCACGTGTTGATTGTAAGAAATTTGTATATGGTATAATTTTTTGGCCAAAACATGTTATGTACTGTATATTATATTTACCTTTTTTTTTAGTAATTGTATTAGTTTAAATTTTGTTGAAAAGCCTTTAAAGATTCAAAGATTGTGACAACCACATATACTGTGATATTTTAGTAAATAGTACACATAAAGTACTACACAAAAAAAGTACACTTAACCATAAGGTTTCGTTTTAAATTCATTAGTTAACACTTTTTTATGTTAACTACATTAGTGAACTAACAATAAACAATACTTCTACTGCATTTATTAATCTTAGCTAATGTTAATCTCAGTATTTACTAATACAATTTTAAGATCAAATCTGTGTCTGTTAACATTAATTAATGCACCATGAACTAACATGCACATTTTTATTAAGTACCATTAACAAGGGTTAATAAATGGTGTAAAAATTGTTGTTCATTGTTAGTTCATGTTAGTTAATGCATTAGCACGGGAATTACAATATATTATGAAAGTAAGAAACCAAAAATCCTCCAATTAAAAGAAATATATAGTTTGTATTATAATTTTTAGATATTAATAATATTTATGAAATATTTTCTTTGTCATGACCTCATACTATGGGCTGAGATTGATCAGAGCTTTACATTCCAGTGATGCTTTTATGCACCACTGTGTCTTTACACAGAATTCGGAGGCGGCTCAGAGCCTTCACGAGGCAGTCTTAAAGGAACACTCCACTATTTTTGAAAATAGGCTCATTTTCCAACTCCCCTAGAGTTAAACAGTTGAGTTTTACCGTTTTCAAATCCATTCAGCCGATCTCCGGGTCTGGCGGTAGCACTTTTAGCTGTAGCTTAACATAGATCATTGAATCTGATTAGACCGTTAGCATCTCGCTCAAAAATTACCAAAGAATTTCTATATTTTTCCTATTTATCCTATAATCAAGGAACTTTGCTGCCATACCATGGATGCAGCAGGCGCAATGATATTACGCAGCGCCTGAAAATAGTCCCCAGCATGCTCCCTGTGCAAGCAGGTGGTCATGTTGGTTATGTTGACGGAAGTTAGCCTATTTTCAGGCGCTGTGTAATATCATTGCGCCTGCTGCACCCATGGTACGGCAGCAAAGTTCCTTGATTATTACGCCAGAATGAGAGTATAGTTCCTAGCCATATCGGCCTAGAAAATCACAACTTTTCATTTTCCGTCGGTCTTAGTACACAATGTAACTACAGAAGAGTCAAGTTTTAAATAGGAAAAATATAGAAACCCTTTGGTCATTTTTGAGCAAGATGCAAAAAATGATCTATGCTAAGCTAAGCTAAAAGTGCTACCGCCAGACCCGGAGATCGGCTGAATGGATTCGAAAACGGTAAAACTCAACTGTTTAACTCTAGGGGAGTTGGAAAATGAGCCTATTTTCAAAAATAGTGGAGTGTTCCTTTAAACCTGCTATACAAATGCACCTTTACAAGATCGCTAATTGCCTGCCAAACGGCTTAACCAATCATAAGCACTCTTGCATTCTTATGAAATCCGTTTTGCATATTGTGAATCATTTAGTGTCAACAACCCTGAATCTCTTTAAACGGTGCACTGCAACCACCCTCTGATTTGCTAGCATGGCATATCATAGCACTGGTTTGTATTTTAAATAGTAGCTCAATGGCATAAGAAGCATCTCCGGACTTAAACTGCAAATCACCTCCCCCAATCCCACCCCCACCAGCCCTCTGGAACAAATTATTTATGTATCACACCAACTGAGACTATAAATAATATATTGTGCCCCAGATCCCTGTGTCTAGAATTAAAGAATTTATCCTCTTTTGAAAACATGTAGTGGTATCAGAGCGCAAGGGAGACTTTCTGTAAGTGCAACAAGGGCTGAATCATACAGGGAAAAAACAACATACAAATAACTTAAACACAAGTGTGTCTGACTTGCTATGTTTGGAGAGCGAGAGGAAGAGGCCTGGAGGAAATATCAGGGTGTAAAAAAGTAAGTGTGAAGACAGAATCAATAAAACCAGATGGCGAGAAATGACATTCCCTTTCATGGGAACTTTGAACTGCGTCCTCTAGGGGTCGCTATGGGGAACGCCTCGTCGTGACCCGTGTCTGAAGCATACATTGAAAAAAACACCAACTCGTTGGCCGGCGACAGCCATGACGTCACTACCGGTGCGACTAAAGTATAAATAGGCGCCGGGAGCACACATCATTCTCTTCTTCGTCTTCATTGACTGTTTTGTTTGAAGCGTGCATTTCCAAGGAAAAAGTAAGAGCTATCTCTATTTATTATGGCGAGCACTAGCGCAGTGTCTCGTTCCCTACTCAGGGAACCATGGTTACACAAGTAACCTGAGACGCTTTCTTGATGGAGGGACATCCTGTCAAGTTTGGCTAACAGTGCGAGATAGAAGAATGCTAGTTTATAGCCTGGGAAGGGTTGAGGTTTTGTAGTTATACTTTCTTAATAAACTGATGAGATTAACTTTTATTGCTTTACCATTGTCTATGAAAACTGAATTATTAATTAAAATTGCTATTAAATAAAAGTATTATTATCTAAACAGAGTGAATTAAACAAAACAAATGAATATCTATTTTTTTTTTTTTTTTTATTACGACTGTAAATGCAAATACGTCGATCAAGTATCCATTGTATTCACATTGTTGCATTCTGTTGCAGTTAGCTCTGGTTTTTAAATTTGATTGGCTGATATTTTGTCCACACCACTGGGAATGGTTTTAATTGGCAGAGCAAAAAATACAAAATACTGCAGTGATGGCAGAAACAAAAACTTTGAATTAATTAAAATTAATTCCTTAGCAAAATTATTCACTGTTACAAAGCTGCGTACTGGTAATCATAACATTGTAAAAGCAACGTGAACACAACCTAAATGTTAATAAAACACATTTTACAAACAAATTGCAAATGTTTTCAAACATTTGATGTATTAAATGTGATCTACAGATCAAAATTACCATTAAATATATTGTATCTTAATTTGTTCTTTCATTTATAGTTTTTGTTTGATGTATTTATTGGCGGGATTTGGCTAATTAGGCTAATCAGGAACTATTACTTATCCCTCTCCCTTTATACTTGCATATTTATTAAAATTCATTCAAACTGAACCCACATCATAAATCTGGCCATAAATCTGCTAAAACAATATATTAGGCCATGGTTCATTGGTTAGGCACTGCTCTCTAGCAGAGAACCATAAAAAAAATTTCAAAACCAAGGTTTGAAACCGTTGACGTAATGAAGCCCTGTTTGCTGAAATGATGTGGCTTGGCCAGTTTAATACATGCTCCGAACCACTGATTTGAAACAAAGGATTTGCAAAGGTTTCAAAGCTTCAGGAAACATTGTTTCGAAATCGCCCACCATTACAACACTGTACATTACTAAACATTAAGGTTTTGTTTTCTGAACTGTTATTTCAATTATTCTTTTTTTTTATCATTTTTTTAACTACAGTGGAGCAGCAGTTGAGTATAGTACTCAAAACCCACTTGAGTACTGAGGTTTGTTACCGCAAGTATGTACAACTGCACTATGCACTTGCAATGCATCGCAACTTCTGTTTGTGGGCTTAATGGCAGATGTATTACAAAGTGCAAAGCCCAAAGGGCCAATGAGTGCATGAGGACACCTGTCCAAGGTTGGATTGGGGGGATTCATTGTGGTCCACTCAGGATTTGTTCCCTTCAACGGCTTTGATCTGCAAGTGTTTAATTACTCAATAGTGCTGATGAAGTCCTTGAGGCGCTCAATCTCAGTCCTATCAGACATACAGTACAGGGCTTTATTGAGTTTCCCTCCCACTCTTCCCATCTACAGTTGCTGCATTGGTAAAGACAGTGTGGTGAGGTAAGTCACACCCATATAACACATAACTCTTCACCCGTTCCTGTCTTGTATTCAACACCAAGAGGTGACACTTTCAGGTCATAGGATTGAGGGATGCTCTCTCTCTCCCTCTCTTTCTCTCTCTCTCGGTCTCTTTCTTTTTCTCTGAAGTCTCCTGCTGTCATTTCACACCTTTCTGAAGTGGAGAGAGATAGACCTGCTTCCATCCTCTGGCAAACAAGGCTGGCCATCAATCACTGCTGCACTGAAGCGTGGCCCTCATGGCTTTTTCTGAACATGCCTCGGGTTAAATCTCAACTACTGTTCCTACTCAGCTCCT